TGTTAAGTTTATCATTAAAATCAACTAAATCATTTTTTTTGAAATTTTCTTGATTTTTTGGGGGATCTGCGACTTTAAGTTCAAAAAAATGTTTGAATGTATATATATATATATATATATATATATATATATATATATATATATATATATTGTAAATAGTCTATAGTATATATGGATATACTATAGAATATACTGTCAGCACTATAGAATATATATATATATATATATATATATATATATATATATATATATATATATATATATATATATATATATATATATATATATATATATATATATATATATATATATATATATATATACTATTTTTATTATTAATGTATTTATTTCAAACAACATGTACATATAAATAGGCACAAGGTCCGTAGATAAAAATAAACAAAATAATAGTCAATAAAAAGAACAGATACAGTCATCTAAAATTATCCATCATTTGGACAGTCCTAATATTCTTTTAATTAAACCGAAAGTGAGGTTTCTTTTGGCACACTCAACAAGCTGTTTCTTTAAATTGATCCTATAGTTAAATAAAATAGTTTCAAAAGTTGGGAGCCTTAACTCTAAAAACATCTGAGTCAGACTACTAATGTAAAACCTAAATAGTAACGGTGATAAAACACCACCTTGTCGCATACCATTTCCTATACTAAAAGCAGGAGATTTAGCTTTCTGCCAACTAATACACATTTCCTGGTTGCTTTACCAGAATGCAAGCAGACTTACAATATTTTTTGATATTCCTTGATCTAATAGGTTACAGAACAGAAGCCAGTAATCAACGTTATCAAATGCTTTTAAAGTATATAAACGATGTTAACACGTGACTACCTCTAGATGTGTAGCAATTAATAGCTTTCTTTAAATAATTTGTGCATAAGGTTGTAGAATGCTTCTGTTTAAAACCAAACTGATAATCATCTAAATTGTCTGGTATATTTATTTTTTGTAACAAAATATTTTCAAATATTTTGGATATAGCTGGAGTGCAACCGCCCTGTAATTGTTCACATCAGTTAGGTTGGCCACTTTGCACTTCACTAAAGGAATAATCGAAGATTCCAGAACTTGGATGGTAAATATCCATGTCTTAAACAGAGATTAAAAAACATACTAATTAGAAGATATAATCTTTTTTCACCATATATAAAAGCTTCCATACATATACCATCAGGACCAGCTGCTTTTCCTGATTTTTGATTTTTTAATGATGCGATAACATCATTGACATTTATGTTAATATTTAAATTGTTTAAGTAGCTGGATTTTCTCAGCAAAGTGGTCTTTGTACTCTGTATTTTTTATAGAATTATATATTGTTTGAAAGTGATCTCTCCACATATAAGCTATATCATTGTCTCCCGAGGCTCCTCCCACACTAGCAACGTAACTCACCGCTTTTTTGTTAGTGATACAATTTATACTGCTCCAAAACTTTTTTGGATCTGTGTTATAAAAATTTTCCGCACACTTATCAGCTTTTATTTGCTCACTATGCCTCTTACAGTGTCTCATAGTTAGTTTAAAGGTGGCACGAGTACTCTTCATTTTTTCAAAAAGATCACCATGTTTTTAGCTTCCCATGCAAAATCCATAGTTTAAATGCATCTCTAGCAATATCATGCTTGTCTTTAACAAAATTGTTCCAACCAGGAGTGTTAAATTCAGAATTTATATTGTTGCCCTTGCTGTGTGGTATAGTGTCAGCCACAACAGATTGAATACAATTCATGAGGTCACTATAAAATAAGTCTATATAAACATCAGCCCTATAAGTTACTCCTATGTCATCAGTAAAAAGTTAAATGGTACATATATAGATTGTTATAAGAGGTCTAACCTTTTCTTATAAAGGGATAATGACTTGTCATTACAAGTCTGCCATTAAGTATTACTACTAGATAATTTCAGATAAGGATTGTTATTTTTTATTTTGGTTATATTTTCCAATGAGTAAGAAAAAGAGAACGTTATTGGTTTATGATCTGATGCTATAATATCTGTTAGAACTGAAATATCTATCATCAGATTATCAATTGTTGGGCTGCACAGAACGTGATCCAACCAAGAGATATGATTTCCATCATCGCTAACATATGTAAAACTGTTGTTTATACGAGTAATATCGGATTTAATTAGACTATTTTCCGTTGCGAGATTTGAGAACTCATCAAAAAATCTAGACCCTTCTTCACAATTGAAGTCGCCAGCAATAATAATATAAATAACATCTGCCTCAGCTATAATAGACTTTATTTTTGAGCATAAATCAATGTAATTATGGAGACTATGCTCATCGTTATAATTTGTTGGCATGTATACATTTAGTAACAGCATAGGACCAATATTTAAGACAATTTTCAGACACGAGATTTTGGATTCGTAAGATTCAATAATTTGAATACTTTTAGCAAGATCTTTACGATATAATGTGGCTGTACCACCATATGGTCTTCCAATCATTATATCAGATGAAATATTG